TTTTACTCTTCACTTGGGAAGAAGCATGGTTTGGTGAGGAAAGTGGTGAGCTAAGAATCAGAAGACCCATGTCCTGCCCACCCTGTAACTTTGGTTCGTATTTCTGCACTCTTGGGCCCTCTATCTCCCTTCAAGTTCTGCTGTGAGGATCAAAACAAATAGTGCAAATGGAAGCATTCTGAAAAATATAAAGTGTCATATAAATATAGATATTTTAATTTTACGATTATAGATGTATAAGAACCACATTTAGATGTATAAAACAAATCACAGAGCCAACTGGTCTACCTACACTCTACTCTGATTTACCTGTATTCTTCTATTAAACCTCAGTTATAAAAACAAAGAGAAAATCCACCACTATGAATTTTCCTGTGATGTGTACTTCAAAGTAAAAAAGCACACCACAAAAATAAAACCCAGAAACCGAAATCAACAAAACACTTGACCCCCAAATTCTCCACTCTTTCCAATGGCTTGTGGAGTGTTTGACAGCAATGTAATTGCAGTAATGAGGAGGTTTGCGGGCCAGGTTGTGGTCATAGGCTCACTGCGGATGTTTTAGCCCTAGGCTCAGCTTCAGGCCAGCACCAGTCGCCTGGGCCAGAGTCACCAATGGAATCCCTTATGCTTAGTCACACACAAATGTGACATTTATGGCATCTGGTGCACAATGCTGCAAATTCAAAAGGCCTAGGATGCTGGGCTTACAAACTTGGGGAAAAGAAATAATTTAGGTTGCCTATTCTCTTGTCTTTTTAGTTAATTAAAACCTGTGAGAACACCCACTTGGTGGCAGTTTCTTAAGTATCTAAGAGGCATGCGCTGAGCTGCTTCTGATTCTGGATCTACATGTTGGTTCCTTTGTCTCTAAAAAGCTTCCTGGATCTTTGTGGACGGTTGTTTTGCCTGGTTCTCTTCCATCTTTGTTCCATGAATTTAGCCATCCTGCCTTGCCAACCACCTGGTTGAAAGCCAAAACTCCACCAAAGCCAGATTCTCCACCGACGATCCCTCGTACAACTCCGTTCTCATAAGCAAATCCTGGGTTAGCCCAACCCAATCCTCCCATCCAGGTTTAACACCTGAAGTGCTAAATGGTATGAAGCAGGACAGCCTGGGACAAAGATATGTGTTCCTATATGTTGAAACATACCTGTTATTCATGTAAGTCCTTTCTCCCAGTAAATTCAACTGACTCAATAGACACTACCACAGTATCATTCACTAGAAGTCTGTAAAGAGACAAGCAGCCAGAGGCGCCTGGATGGTGCAGCTGGTTACGCATCCAACTCTCGGTTTTGGCTCAGGTCCTCATCTCAGGGTCATGAGACCGAGCCTCGCACTGGGCTGTGCTCAGCGTGGAAACTGCTTGGGACTCTCTCTCTGCCCCTCCCACTTGTGCTCTCTCTTGAATAAATAAATAAATAAATCTTAAAGAAAAAAGAGAGAGAGACAAGTGGCCAGATAATATGTTTTATTTTAGAGATAAATAAATTAAGACTAGCAACAATTATATATCAATTGTCAGTGTTTGGATATCTCATAATCCCTGCATAACTAACTACATCATTCTTTGGTTTACTTTGACGAAGGAAACGAAATAGGGAGGAATACTTCCATTTTGAGCCATTGTACAATTGGACTCTTGGCTCCTGGGTGAAGAGAAATGAGCATAACAGAGCTACCTAATTCAAACAGCCTGTGCAATGGGCCTCTGATTTGGTAAGATACAAAAGACAGGCATATTTGGGAGGTAATCTAAATGCATGAGGCCAGGCCTCTCTTCTAGTACTTAGTATGTCAGAGTGAAATAAAAGGCATTACTGAGTATATTCTGCCACATCAAGGCATGCACGTGGTACCGACTAGCACATGCAGAAGTTGGGAAGAACAGGAAAGGAAAGAAGGAGGAGGAGGAAAAGAACTGTGTATTAACTAGCCTTGTGTCAGAATGGAACCCATGAGATGCCAAGTGCCTGCTATGGCCATAGCCCTGCTGCTTCCCTGGCCACAGCTCACTTGCCCCAAGGACACCTCAAGACCTTGGTCTGGCTCTTCCTAACAGGGACAGAGTAATCCAACAAACCAATTAGCTATTCCTTCCTTGGGAAGGCGGGAATTAAAATAACTCCGAAAGACTAAGTAGTGGTGGGGAGAGTGCTTATGGGAATAAAGCCAGAGGACCACCGAGGACGGGCAGTAAGCAGGAGTCAAGGAACAGGAGAGGTCACATGGTGGAGTGGGGAAAAGAGGGCTGAGGTGGCAGGAGGAGAAGTCAAGTGTCCGGGAGTTGCAAGTCCTTAAAGGCCAAGTGCTAAAGCAGGAAGCAATGATGCTTGCACCCGGGGGGGCAGTAAGGCAGGCCAGCTGCCCACTTACTAGTACTGTGGGGTGGTCTTTGCTTCCAGAACAACTGCCCACGCTCCATGAGGATAAGCAGCAGTGGCTACCCCCGTCTCGCTTACTTCCTTGGGCTTCTTTATAGTGAGGCTCTATGACTTTAAGGAGACCAAGGATCTAGCGCAGTTTTATATACTTTCTCTGATTTAATCCTCACTATAACTCGGTCAAGTATCACTCTCTATGGAAGCATGGGGAAAACCTAGGAAGGGGTAGTGACTTCAGAGTCCTTGAATGATCCGCATGATACTTGCTCCTGTGATGAAGAAGCTCTCTGCGGCACATTACCACTGTGTACCCTGCTGCGGGTGTGGGCTGCCAGGGGCAGCCTCGGCCCACGGAAGCAGGAAGTTAACACCACGGCATGCCTCCTACATATGACTCTGGACACCAGCACTATATCGGAGGGTCACCACAGAAAGGAAATATGACTGTCACATCAGGTCCTTGCTTGTTCCGAAGCCCACTGCAACTGCCCCCTTCTCACTGACCATTCCTACCCCAACTTTCTATTGCCTACAGGGTATTCTGGGAAACTCTAGTCCCATCCATGCCCTGCTCCTGAAAAAGGATTCTATGGCCAAGTGAGTTTGAGAAATGCTGCAGACTCTATGCTCCTTTTGGAGAGTCTTAATGCATATTGCCATATTTAAGCCTCCTCTGAGAAGTTCTGCAGAAAAGAAACATATTTAACTTCATTAATCCAGAGTTTCCTCAACTTTGCAAAAATAGAACTCTTTTTTTCCTAGTAGAATCCTATAGAAAAACACTTTGGAAAATGCTACTTTAATGAATTGGCTGCATATAAGACAGAGACAGGAAACCTAGGTCTCACCACTAAAGTCTCTGTGGTGCTGGGTCTGAGTCTCATGGAACTTTCATGCCCCCAGTGTACTGTCCTGCACATGGGGAGGGTTCCCATGCAACTGTTGGTTGTCAACCAAACCACAGGAGAAGGGAAAGGTGATTTCCCACGCCTGCGCCCTTCTGCCTGTCAGCAGGCTCCGTCCTGCCAGGAGTCAAGGTTGTGTGGCCCCTTGTTGCACTTTTCTCAGCCCTCATCAGCTTCCTGTGCTCCCCCAGGCCTAGATGCTATTACATTTCAGCCTGTGGTTTCAGCTTCTGCAGTCACTACAAACTCAATTTCTGTCTTCTCAGTTCTAGCTACCCCACACAGCTCACAAGCCCGGCAGGATGTCATGAATACCGTTACCTGCCACGTGACCCTTCCAAACCCCGAGGCTCCACCCAAGAGCGTTCTGGGTCACACCACTGCCTTTTCTGCATGACAGACAAACGCACGAGCATCTCATGGACAAGCCACCACGATCGAGGCGGCCAACTCTTCCAGCACAACAACAAACAGCATGTCGGTATTTTCATATGTACACACAAAGGAGGGTCTTACCGGTCATGCTGAACACAAATATAAAACCAGGAGATATTCCCTCCACCAGCCTGGCTGGCACACTGATTTTGAAGTAAATTCGATTGGTCTATGAGGATTTATTCTACTCCAAGTCCCATCAGTCGGTTTATCTCTTCCTTGGGCCATTCTCTGCCACAGGCCTCCGGGCAAAGTCACCCTTATCACGAGTGAGTGACACAAGTGTCCTAAAGAGCCTGAAGAACTGCAGTCTCCAAGGGAAAATGGGTGATTAACTATCCCTGGCCCAAGTAAATTCTTCTAATCAGACACCTGCCTCCTGTAACACATATTTCACGGCCTGATAAACCCAACAGCAGCGTTGGATGGCCTGATACCGTGGTTTCTAACAGGTAACCCGACTCTCTCAAGTTCCACCAGTTGGAAGCAAGGCGAATTCTTTTCTAAGTCCTCTTGACAGTATATACAATCATGTTAAACATCTATGTGACTAAAAAGGGTTGTGACACTTATCTAAGGAGAAAGCATGCTGCTACCTAAGCCTCCATATTCCTGGTGCTAGAGACTTTAAGAGAACACAGGCCTGGCCCTGTGATAGTCACAGTGAGCCGTGGAGCGAGCAGGCTAATTGAGCTTTTTGCTGAGCACCAGTGAGACGTGAGACATGAGTTTGGATTGGAATTCCATTATGAGTTTTTAATAATTAAACGCTACCTGTTTGGAACCTCATTCTTCTGTATTACTTTTTAAATATTAATCTATTTACATCAGCTGGACTTCCTGCAGCTTGACACGCAGTACGCGGGAGTCACACTGAGACAGACAACCGCGCTCCTAGCTTAAACCACCTTTGCTGCTCAGTAACAGTAAATGTGCCACTGGCCCCATCCTCTACCATAATTATCCCACCTTTTAGAAGGTGGCTTCCTCCATCTTTCAGCACACTCACAATTTCCTCAGCATTACAATGACTTTTTAAACTAGCAAGAATACAAATTAATCTTCTTTGGAGAGTTTTAGAACAAACCCTCCCCCCCCCCGCCGCTGAGCTCTCCAGAGGGAGGGAGCCTGCCCTCCTCAGAACCAGGGTTACGATATGGATGCGGAAGGCGTGTGAGCATTTCCTTGGATGTTACCCCACACTGTGATGAGACTCCAGCATAAAAATGCAAAAACAGGAGCACACATAAAAACCTCATTAAGGGCTAACCTTGCTTTACACAGTACCCTCAAGCCGACAAGGCTTCTCTCCAGGTGCCCGGCAGCCACTCTCCTTCTGGGCAAACGCTCCTGGGGCTTTGGCTGTGTCCTCCTCTCCTCCCATTTCATCATCTCTGTCAGCAACTCCCGGGGGGCCCCCTCTCTCTGCTGCTGGGAGTCTCTGGCTCGGGTTTTGCTGCCTGTCCATCCTCTTCCAGCTCAAACGCAGAACCTCCTGCACACAGAGATGGGGCCTTCTCAACTGCCTGATTGCAATGGTGGACGGCCTGAGGTCAGACTTCAATGGAAGTGGGATTCTAAGCCAGGCAGGACAATTAAGGACCATCTAAATCCAAGGATGGGAGAACCGACACAGCAAGTGTCCACTGCTCTGGAGATTATGGACCCCACTGTTTCTGCAGTCAAGGCAATCATCAGACCCGTGTCTGTACTCGACCCCTTGCAGTGCACGCCATAGAACAGTCTCCAATTTGGTTTCGATTTGAGAATTTTATTCCCTTTTAAGACAAAGCTAGCAGCACAGAGCAGCCATGGACTGTTTTAAAGAGTAAAACACCATTTCGCTTAATACAAAAAGATGTAGGATTCAAAGCAGCAAATTACATGGGAGATACCTTAACTACAGAACAAGGGCCCTCCCAGCTGCCCAGCTCTATGACCACAAAGTGCCTTCATACAGACACTCCCAGGACATTAAACATAAAAATCTCTACCAGATGTCAGTATATTGTTTTACCTGTCAGTACTATTGAATGGCTCATGCAAAATGCCTAAATGCAAATGTCCCTAATTAGTCTCACAAGGAAGCCTGGGTCCTGTGCACCCTCCGGACAAGGCATGGTACCAGCACGGCTGGTCCAGGAAGGCTGCAAGACCTACACAGTGACTGGTGGGCCCCGGAAGCTGGAGCACCTTGGGAGAGCTGTCCATCCTAGAATGTGAAGGACAAGTTGGTTCCCAGCGTGCAGGGGAAATGCTCCAGAGGAAAAGAAGCGCTCCAGGCTTATTGAGGGTTCTCCCATGGCTGAGGCTGCCATCCCCCTCAACCAGCAGTGTTCAATTCTCCCTGGGGCAGGAGGCTCCTTTTCACCCAGAGTTTCAAGATCCATTCCCACCAGTCCCAGGAACGGACCTCGCCTCCTCTTCCCTCTCGAGGCAGGGCTAACAAGTGAGTGGAGAAATGGGAGAAATTGGGCACCTACCCAACCGCACATTCTCTCCAGAGCTGTCCTCTGATTGTCGTGTGCAGATTTCTCCTTTGGGAACACACCATCCCCTGAATAACTCCTGGTTTTAAGGGAAGCAAGCGCTTGTTATAGGTGGACAGAAGGTGTTCAGAAGGGGATCGCCCACTGAGCTTTTTGTGTTGTAAGACCAGAGGAAAGCAGAGGAAGTGAAGCTCTCTCCATTTCCCTGATCCCCAGAGGCCATGGTGTCCTCTAGATTCTCTCGGCCTCTTTCCCTCTGATTCTCAAGTGACTTGGAAAACAAAGCATAGCATTCCCCAGAGAATATCTAAAAGCTTCATAAATCCATTAATATTCGGTCTAAATCTTTCTCTGCTTAATTCCATTCCATGATTCCTACCGTAATTATACCCTTGTCTTGATTAATAAATGAATGCCTTCCTTCTTTGGTGCTGACATCCTTCAGATACCTGAAGACCACAATCGTGCCAACCACCCAAATCCTCAGACCTCACTAATGTGAGCCAAATGCAGTAGAAAGAATGATAACACAGTCCCTGTGTGTGCCTCAGACTCCGGCTGAATCTTTCCTGCTTTGTTAGCTCCCAAATCCTTATCTGTGGAGCAGCTCCATTTTGAGTTTCCGAATTATCAGCCAAAAGGGGAAATGCCAATAGGTCAGAGCAGTACACAGTTATTAGAAGATATTCAAACTAATGCTCCCACTGAATCTGTAAACAGGAGACAAAAATCCCCAGAGTAATTAAGTCTAAATATGTCAAAATTTTCCATCAATGATGCTGAGTGACTTTTTTTCTTTTTTTAAAAAAAAGGAGGAGCATACTTTAAACAGTGAAAATGACAGATCACTATCACATTCCCTTTAGATATTGGTTTTGCATTCAGCATTTAACAATTCAGCAGCTTTTGGAAGTTCAAAGTCATGACACCTAGGAGTTGAACTGGCCCCATAAAGTCATTTCATCCCACCTCCCAAGCAGTGCAGGGAGCCCTACTGCAATATGCTCAGCTGGTCATCATCTGACTCAACTGTGATGCTGCTGCCAATGGGGAGCTGACTACTTCACAAGGGTGCCCATCCTACTCTTGTTAGCAAACTCTTTCTGATACTGAGAAGAGGTCTGCCTTCCTGCGACTCTTCCCCATAGGTCTGGCCACCCCCCTCAGGTCCACTCAGCATGGCTGCAGCCCTGTCCACCCAGCCACCCTTCATATACCTGGCAATGGGGGTATGTGCTCCTTTGGCCTTTTCATCCCAGGAGGGACGTCCTCAGTCACTTCTATTGTCCTTAAGGCATCATGACTTCCAGACCATCACAGCCCAGAGTGCCTTCATCTCATCTCCGTTTCATTCTCAATATATGACACCCAGGGGAAGCACGACACCCTCTAAGGCCACCCTCCATGGATGGGCAGAGCTGAGATTCCAGGAGACTACATGATGTGATTTTGTGGTTGCTGGAAAGATCTGCTTTCTTCTTCCTCAGCCATGACATTCTACCTTTAAAGATTTCTTTCGTTAGGTTTAAATATTCCAGATCTAGGACTCCGTTAAAAATCCAAATACCCCAGAAGGGGTAATATTTTAGACCACCAGCAGCCAGTAGGAATTGATTTATTCAGCATCTTTGGACTGAGACCTGGATTCTAACCGCGACTTTGTCATTTTCCAGCTGCAAAACCACAAGCAAGTCACATAACCTCTCTGAATAGGAAGGAGTTAATCAGCTGAGGATAAGGTATTGGGGCCTGTAAATTATTATTATTTTTTTAAAGATTTTATTTACTCATTTGACAGAGAGAGCGAGGGAGCACAAGCAGGGGGAGCGGCACGCAGAGGGAGAAGGAGAAGCAGACTCCCCGCTGAGCAGGGAACCCGATGCGGGGCTCGATCCCAGGACCCTGGGATCATGACCTGAGCTGAAGGCAGACGCTAAAATGACTGAGCCACCCAGGCACCCGGGGCCCCTAAATTCTTAAGACAACAGTCATCAAACATTAGCCGAGTATCTGTGAACTTAGAGCAAACACATTCTTTCTTCTCTCTTTTCTTCCCACTTACTACCTCTACAACTGTCAGGAAAAGAGACCTGATTTCTACAGATGGCAGTAGAGTGGGTCCTTGTTATCACTAATATCAAGGCAGTTAAGGAGTGGCATAAGATACCTGCATGAAACTCCAATCAACAACAATCCAACGGTTGTGCATTTTTAATAAATGTTTTTCTGCCATCCCTCTGAAATATTTTTATCACCCTTGAAGCAAAGTCAAAGAGAATCCATAACCTGGACAGGTATTTTTCATCTGGGGTCAGTCCTAGAAGGACCCTTGAGAAGCTCTAAATATCGATCTCTGCAGCAGAAACAGCATGGGATGGATGAAGCTTGTGGTAGGGCATCCCCCCAACCCCGAGTGTCCTGAGCTCCTGCATGCAGACAGCTCTGGGGCTCTAGGTCAGGGTCTCTCCAACTTGAGTATACATCAGAATCACCTGGAGGGCTTATTATAACACAGATTCCAGATATTTGTACACCAATGTTCACTGCAGCATTATTCACAATAGCCAAAGGGTAGAAACAACCCAAGTGTCCATCAACAGATGAGTGGATAAATAAAACGTGGCATATATATACAATGAAAAATTATTCGGCCATAAAAAGGAATGAAGTACTGATATATGCTACAACATGGATGAACCCAGGAAATGTCATGCGGATTGAAAGAAGCCAGACACAAAAGGCCACATATTGTATGATTTCTCTTTTATGAAATATCTAGAATGGGCAAATCCATAAAGACAGAAAGTAGGTTAGAGGCTATCAGGGGCTGGTGGGAGAGGGGAGTCAGGGGTTATTGTTTAACGATGATAAAGTTTCTGTTCAGGGTGATGAAAAAGTTTTGGAAACAGATAGTGGTGATGGTTGTACGACATTGAGAGTGACATGGAATCATACACCTAAAATGGTTAAAATGGCAAATGTTATGTTAATCTATATTTTACCACAATATAGAAAAAAATTTAACCCCCCAAATTCCTGGGGGTGCAGGTCTGGGACGGGGTCCGGGAATTGCATTTCCAACAAGTTCCCAGGGGATGCTGATGTTGCTGGTCTGGGGACCACATCTTGAAACCACTACTCCAAGCCCAGAGAGGCTACGCCAACCCTTCAAACTCTCTTCTCATCCTGCTTTGCTTTGTGGATTGTCTAGAGAAACTCGAACTTCTGTGCATGCATAGCAACGTCAACACAGGCTAGAAATCATAAAACCAGCCGCGTCCAGGGCGACTTGAGGCTGTCAGTTCTGCCCTGTGGTTTTCTCCCTCTTTTTCCTCTCACTCAGTTTTGAGCCACCACTGACCAGTAGGAATGCCAATAATTAACACCAACTTCAGCGGGGTAGACGCAGGTGCAAGTCAGAAGGGGCTAGAGGGTGAGTGAAGTTTATCTTCTGGGCCTTGTCCTCGGGAATCTTGCCCCACCCTGCAATCCACACTCACCAATTTAGCAGTCAAGTGTTTTCAGATAGGACTTAGAAAAGTGCTTGCTTCTTAAAGTTTCAAAAGAACTTGAGTGCCAGGCTCTGTGATATTGATCTGGGCAAGATATTCATATGGGGCTTGGAGGATGTAATGCATATGTCTCATTTGGGGTCGAGTAAATTGCTGAAGAGCTCACATTTCTGAGATTCTCTTTTTTGACATTCTTGGGTTCACTTTGAGTTCACTGGTTTTCCCAATGGTATTACTTAACTTCTCCAAATTTAATATATTTTTATTCCTGCTCATTTGAGTGTTGTA